AGGGGAGCGCGGCTCCCGCCGGCCCCGTTCCGCCCGCACGGGCAATAAAAGCACGGAGCACAAAGACACACGGCGCTCCAAGTGTGTCCGTGCCCTTCCAAATGCATTCGGACAGCGGCCCCAAGGGCTGCGCTCGGCTGTGCCAGCATCGCCACACGGCCCCGTTGGGTGACATGGGACACGAAACCCACAGGCTTTACTCTGCTTGGGATAAACGAGTTTTTTCGTTTACTTGGGATAGAAAACCCCTACTGATTACACTATTCTCTTCTACACTGGCCTTAAAAGGCATAACGATGCTAGAAAGTTATAATTAGAGATACATGTGGCTCAAAAGTCATAAAGAGGTAGTTAGGAGCAACATCTCTACTGACAAAAGACTTAATAAAATTACCTTATAAAACAGTTACAAAGTTTTTTTCACTTGTTGTTCTTCACGTTTTGAACTTTTAAATTTGTTTCTTGTTCCACTTTGTTTTGGAAACCTCGAAGCCAAACTGAGCAGCATCAATTAAAAATCAACAGCTGGGTCCAAGGCTTCAGGATCGCTGTGAACTCCCGCAGGACTCGCTCGCTTCAGACAAGCACAAGAGCACCTCTGGTTCCCGAGGCTGCACGGCAGCACGCCAGGAGTAAAATCAGAGTTACTCCTGATTTCATCGCCTTGCCGTGCATCATTTATCCAGAACCTCCTCCAAGTGCGCTGAGGGAGAGGAGACAGATCAAGTGTGGTTCTGGATAATCTGTTTTCTCTCCAACTTTCCCACTCCTGGCACTGCTTGGAAGTGCCAACCTGCAGCTGGGACCACACCTGATGTCCCCCAGGCCTCTCGTGTGGGCTGGAGCCTCGCAGGGCAGCTCCACCAAGAACAATTCCTTTTCCCATTGCAGGAGTCTCCTTTGGTGTGCAAAAAAATGAAAGAAAGAAAGGAGAATTGCTGCCTTCCCCTCTCTCAGGGCTGCAGAAGTGCTCAAACCTTCACCTGCTGCTCCCACAGAGAGGAACGCTGGCCTAGGGACTCTCTGCTCTTGGATATTGGGCAAGGGAGGGAGGAGACACTGGGTTGTCCCTGGGGACACAAGAAATGGGTGAACATCCCATCCCAAATACTCACATGCATCATGAATTCATTTATAAGAGACCTTCAGGATCATCCAGTGCCACCATCATCATCTCAAACCATGTCCCAAGAACCACATCCAAAGTTCTCCTGAGCACTCCCAGAGACAGTGACTCCACCACCTCCCTGGGCAGCTCATTCCAAGGCCTGAGCACTCTTCTGGAGAATGTTTTTCTAGTCACTATTTGAAACCTTCCCATTTAGAATGGCCTTTGGGCCACTTCCTGCCATCCCTTCCCTTGGCCTGAGCAGTACAGACCAACCCCCCGAGTTTTCTGGAGAGCCTGGCAGACCCCCCAAAGCACTGATCGCGTTTATCAGCTCCCTCAGTGTTCTCTCCATGTCCTTCCCCAGCAATCAGGCTGAGCCACATCTTCAAGTTGTGCCACTAATGTTCAGCCACAGCTACATAAACCCAGGGCAGCTTCAGCATCTTCCTCCTTCGTGGCTGTGCTTCCCCAACCAAAACACTCAGCACCATGTCCACAAGAAGGAAGAATTTTATTGTTTCCATGTGACTGTTGCCATGGTTTCCCTGGGAATGACCAGGGCAGCTCTCTTAGACAGTTTCTCTCATGATTTTTGTGAGTTTCTGGATCTTGGACCTTGTTGACATGTCCACGTACTTCTCCCCAATGTTGACAATCATGCCACCAAGGATTGATGGATCAGTCTAAGGAAGGAACATTGAACAGAAAGTCGATCAGCGGAAGTTTGTTACCATAGGGTACAAGTTTTACACTAGCAAAAAAAATATACAAAGCTTTTCAAAGGGCCCTTTTTGAGGTAACTTTGTGCTCATTGTCCATCATCATCCAAAGGGAAGATTTTAGAAATGAAAACATCATCATGTCTACAAGAAAGCCCAGAACTATGTAACAAAGAAACTGGATTCAATAAAATCTTTTTCTGAAAATCACAGACACAGAAACCCTTAACAAGAACTTAGTGATATTTATTTGTAAGTCAAAAATCCAGACCTTAGTCTGCAGCTTCAACACCTCTCCTTTAGCTAGGAACCCATTCAGAGCGCTCTTCAGTTCAGTGAGGTTGGCCTCATCCAAGGGCTGAAAAAAAAGAACAGAAGGAAAATCAAGGACTTAAAAATACTCAAATGATATAATGAGAACCCAAATTTTCTCCTCAGGTCCCTTGGAAGACACTTCCTGGAACAGGAATAACGCAAGGTCAGCACAGGAACAACAACCACTTTGTGCCTTCCTAATTTCATGAAACATTTTCCTGTTTGAATGAAGAACAGGGGCAGCTCTGTGTGCAGACCAGCCTGACTTTTGTCAGCCCATGGCAGGAAAACCATGACCTGTTGAGCTGCAACGGGATGAAGTTTTCATTTTGGATCAGGAACTGGTAGATATCAATTGCTCTTTGCAGTAATTTTTCAGCTTGGCAGAGGTGAGACATGTCCCCACAGCAAGTACTTCAATCTCAGAGTGCAGCATTAACCGGGAGAGGTTTGTCTTTTCTCCCACTCCCTGCTGCTGCCCTGATCCAGAGCTTCCCAGCCCACCTGAGCCGTGGTGACCGTGCACACCACCTCCCCTCGGAAAGCGCTCATGATCTTCCCGAAGGCAGAGACGATGCCCGGGGTGTAACGCAGGCGGCCGTTCTCAGCCAGCAGATCTGCAAAAGAGCCACGCATCGAGGGGTTAAAGCACCACCAGAGGCAGATCCGAACAGCAATTCCCATGGATGGCATGGCTGGGATGTTCTCCTGAAGCCCAGAGGTCACTCACTCATCAGGTTGACAGTGATTGGGGACATCCTCTCTTTTGCCAGGGCATCATTGACGGCTTTTTGTTTCACTGAGCTCTTGGTGTGAGGGTTCATCACCACACTGGACAGCTTGGGGTCCTTCAGGAGGCTCTGAGGGAATACACAAGGATGTGACAAAGGCCAGGGGATTTCCTGGCATCACAAGGCCCACCTGGAGCAGCCAATGTAGTCAACAAGGGCATTCCTGGAATGAGAACAAAGCTCTGGAGCTCATGGGAAGTGAAATGACAGATCCAGCTAGAGAATCAAGGAATGGTTTGGGTGGGAGGGTACCTTACAGATTGGACGGACCTAGTTTCACCCCATGCCATGGGCAGGGACACCTTCCACTATCCCAGATTGCTCCAAGCCCCATCCAGCCTGGCCTTGGACACTTCCAGGGGTGGAGCAACCACAGCTTCTCTGGGCACCCTGTTCCAGGGCCTCCCCACCCTCTCAGGGAACAATTCCCTGGCAATATCCTATTTAAGCACCAGGACCACAGGCAGGCAGTACAGGAGCCAGCAGGCTGGGAGCCTCACAGGGCACAGGAGCCCAGCCCTCTCCCTCCTGAGGAACAGCAGGGAACTCCCCCTGCTCCCACCCCCGGGAGCCCCGGCTGTGGAACACCTTACCCACACCCTGCTCAGCTCCTTCTCCACCTGCTCCAGCTTCTTCTGCTTGCTGGCTGCCGAGTAGAGGGCGGTGGCATAGCGCCCTTCCAGCCCATACACCTGGATGGGTGGCTGCGGGAGCGAGGGCAGGAACTGAGCGGGGGAGCCGGGGAGAGACCCCCGCCCCTCGCCCTGGCCAGCCGGGAGCCAGCGCTGCACCCTCCCCTCACCGCCACCATCTCGGTCCCTCACAGCGCCCTGCCCCTGCACCTTGACCAGCCTGGACACCCCCCCTGGGAGCCAGCGCTGCACCCTCCCCTCACCGCCACCAT